GATAAGGCATGGTGAGGCTGCCAGTTCGGACCACAAAGCGTCTGAAAAATATGTGCAGGAATTCAAGGAGTACATAGACAGTGAAGGACAAACCTGAACAAGTGTTTAATTGCGACGAAACAGGCCTGTTTTGGAAGAAAATGCCAAACAGGACGTACATTACTCAGGAGGAAAAGGCACTCCCAGGACATAAGCCTATGAAAGACAGGCTTACTCTGTTGATGTGTACCAATGCTAGTGGTGATTGCAAAGTGAAGCCTTTATTGGTGTATCACTCTGAAACTCCCAGTGTGTTCAGGAAAAACAATGTCCTCAAGGCTAATTTGTGTGTGCTGTGGAGGGCAAACAGTAAGGCATGGGTCACTAGGGACTTTTTCTATGACTGGTTACACCATGCATTTGCCCCCCACTGTGAAAAATGACCTAATTGAAAAGAAATTAGACCTTAAGTGCCTCCTGGTATTAGACAATGCTCCTGGTCATCCTTCAGACTTGGCAGAGCGACTTTCTGCGGAAATGAGCTTCATTAAGGTCAAGTTTTTGCCTCCTAATACCACTCCTCTCCTGCAGCCCATGGACCAGCAGGTCATTTCCAGCTTCAAGAAACTGTACACAAAAGCTATGTTTGAAAGGTGCTTTGTAGTGACCTCAGAAACTCAATTGACTCTAAGAGAGTTTTGGAGAGATCACTTTAGCATCCTCAATTGTGTAAACATTATAGGTAAGGCTTGGGAGGAAGTGACTAAGAGGACCTTGAACTCTGCTTGGAAGAAACTGTGGCCAGAATGTGTAGACAAAAGGGATTTTGAAGGGTTTGAGGCTAACCCTGGAATCCTAATGCCAGTTGAGGAATCCATTGTGGCAATGGGGAAGTCCTTGGGGTTGGAGGTTAGTGGGGAGGATGTGGAAGAGTTGGTGGAGGAGGACAATGAAGAACTAACCACTGATGAGCTGCTAGATCATCTTCAACAGCAAGAGGCCACACCTGAGGAAACTGCTTCGGAGGAGGGGATAGAGAAATTGAGGAAGTTGCCTACTTCAAAGATTAAGGAAATGTGTGCAATGTGGCTTAAAATGCAAACCTTTTTTGATGAAAATCACCCTCGCACAGCTATTGCAAGCCGTGCTGGTGACTATTACACTGACAATGTTGTGAAACACTTTATGAATGTCCTAAAGGAATGGGAGGTACAGGCCTCTATGGACAGATATGTTGTGTGACAGAGGTCCAGTGACTCTCAAGCTGGTCCTAGTGGCATTAAAAGAAGGGAAGTAACCCCGGAAAAGGACTTGCCACCTCAAGTCCTAATGGAAGGGGATTCCCCTTCTAAACACTAAGACCATCAACACTCTCCCCTCCTCCCATCCCATCAATCATCACCAGATCTTCAATAAAGGTAAGTGTCATGTAACTGTGCATGTCTTCTTCAGTTTGTGTGTATTAAAATTAATATTTCATGTGGTAAAATTTTTTTTTTTGTTCATACTTTGGGGTGTCAGGAACGGATTAATTTGATTTCCATTATTTTTTATGGGGAAAATTAATTCGCCTAACGATAATTTCGCCTAACGTTGAGCTCTCAGGAACGGATTAATAGCGTTAAGCGAGGGTCCACTGTACTACACAGACCGGGCTGCAGGGGCGTTGACCCCCGGAACTCTCTCCTGTCGAACTCCAGGTAAACAAGAACATAACAGTAGAGGAACATTGAAACAGGCCTTCTCAAATCCAACCACTAACAGAAATATTTGTTCAACCTATTTTTATGCTACCCAAGCAATAAGCTTTTATAACCTTTTTACTCATGTAGAAGTTTATTTTTTTACATGTTTTACTACTACTACCACCACTAGTAATACTACTACATACTACTATTACTAGTATTACAACTACTACACCTCACTCTAAACATACATATATACCCTGTGTCCATGTATTGTTTGTAACGGCTTGATAAAGCTCCTGGAGTGAAACGTTGCAACAATAAAATGTCACATTAGCTGCACTTGTGTCCTTTTACCTAGCATGTATTTTCTCGCTTAAGTAAATATTAAAATACAGTTATCTGCCTAAGGGTGAGACTCTAGAATAAGGTGAAGGAATACCCAGATTTAATGGTTTAGTTAGATTGGCTCAGATGTTTTTTTGGAAAACGCTTGTCAATAAATGAGGACCCTGCAAAGCTGCAGTGAGACATCACTATGTCCCTCTCTCTGGTTTTGCTATGTTGATCATGTCTGCTAGCTGGTCACATGTCCAGTCACTTCCAACCCTTTCTTGATGCCCTTAACAATCTTGCTCCCTCTGTCAAATTCAAAGCTGAATGGGAATGAAACTCATTACTTCCTTTTCTTGTTGTTAATGTTCACCACTCCATGACAGGCTTCATCTTTTCCATATAATACAAGCCTCTGTACAGTGGCATGTTCATTCACAAATTTTCTTACCATGCCTAGTTGATTTTGCCCTTTGTGGAGGTAGTTGTTCGGTTTCTTCTTGAAGACTTCTACACTTGTCCCAGCAACATTTCTAGTATCTGCTGGTACAGTACAGTGGTTCATCGAAGAGCTTTAGCCAAAGATATTGACAGTATTACCTTATTATACCTATTACACCTCTGCATTTCACTGGGTTTATTTTACACTTCTTTCCATACCTCTCATTCCAGTACGTCATTATGACAGTGTATAGGTTTAGGATGAATCCTAAGTATCATCCATGTACATAGTGTTATCAGGTATCTCACTCCTCTGCTCCAAAGTACATTTCAGGTATTTTGAGATGTGTCTAGCAGTTTAGATGCTCCACTGGCTCCATTCAAGCAGTAAATGATCTCATAGTTTATCTCACATCTATGTACAATCCAAACTGTTTAACTATTTTGTTTATATCATCTCAGTCTTAGACTTTCCAAATATTACATACTGAACAAGCTGGGCATTAAAAATTAAGTTATAATTTTTTCCAACAAATTCCAACTACATAATAGAGTAAAAAACTAATGTGAAGGACCTGGAAGTGGTACAGTCAGAGAATCTCACTTTCAAAGATCACAACAATGTATTTACCACATCTGCTAGGAAATTAACAGGATGGATAATGAGAACCTTCAAAACTAGGGATGCCAAGCCAATGATGATTCTCTTCAAATCGCTTGTTCTCTCTAGGCTTGAATATTGCTGTACACCAGTGGTTCCCAAAATTTTTTCAGGCTGCTAAACCCTTGGCTCCCAGGCCACATCCTTAGTGCCCCCCCCCCACACACACACATACAAACACACACCTTTCTTGGTATTAGGTTTACTAAAAACTCAAAACAACAACTAATCTAACACTAAAAAAAAGTGTACTTATTTCACAAATAAAAATTAACATAGTAAACCATGAAAGGGTAAATTTACATCTCATCTGTAACCACAATGTCATCACAATTTTAATTAGATGGATGTGCTTGGTGCAGGGACATCAGCTTCTCAGCATCAATAATTTTCAGTCTTTCTCTGCTTGGAAAGAAGCTTGGCAACTGCACTGAAGCCTCGATCTATTAAATATGATGTTGGGAAGGAAATAAAGTACACATTGACTTTGGAAATATAAACACAAATGCAGTATAATGTGATCCTTTATTGACAACGTTTCACCCACACAGTGGGCTTTTTCAAGTCACACACGTGTGTGACTTGAAAAAGCCCACTGTGTGGGTGAAACGTTGTCAATAAAGGATCACATTATACTGCATTTGTGTTTATATTTCCATTGTGTCGGTATTTTATACCATTTATTTCCACACCTTGACTTTGTTCAACAGTGCAGGGTTGTGGTCAGAAATGTTTTGCTTTCTGATCTGGCTGGCATGTGGTGCATCCAAACAAACATTTGGACTTTTAACTCCAACTTTGGACCACAAAATGAAACAAAACTACGCTTTCATGTGTAACTCTATGTTCATTTTATTCTTTGTAAAGCACTGGTATTACTTTTTGTGACTTAGATTATGTCATACAAATTTTGCAAAACAAATGCTCACTTAGTTGTGATGCCACCCTGCTGCCCCCTTTTCCTCAATGCCCCCCTGGATCTTTCCACCACCCCCATGCAGGTGGTACTGCCCACTTTGGGAATCACTGCTGTACACTAATGGCCCCTTTCAAGGCAGGCAAAATTGCAGACCTGGAGAATATACAAAGAACTTTCACTGCACATATAAGTACCATAAAGCACCTAAATTACTAGGAATGGTTGAAGTCCCTTGACCTGTACTCCTTGGAACGTAGGCAAGAAAGATACACTTGGAAAATCCTAGAGGGACTAGTCCCAAATCCGCACATGGAAATCACTCCCTACAAAAGCAAAAGACTCAGCCTGCAGTGCAACATCCCCCCAATGAAAAACAGGGGTGCCATGAGAATGCTAGGAGACAATGCAGTAAGTGTCAGGGGCCCAAGACTGTTCAACTGCCTCCCAGCATACATAAGGGGGATTACCAATAGACCTTTGGCTGTCTTCAAGTAGGAGCTGGACAGACACCTAAAGTCAGTACCTGGCCAGCTGAGCTGTGGTTCGCACGTCCATTTGCGAGTGGCCAGTAGTAACAGCCTGGTTGATCAGGCTCTGATCCACCTCAAGGCCTGGTTATGGACAGGGCTGCAGGGGTACTGACCCCTCAAAATGCCCTCCAGGTATACTCCAGGTAATTACACAGAACTAATGTAAATTCTTACAAATAAAAATTCTGATCTGTTACTGTCATCATTACTACACTTCAATATTATTATTACCATATTATTACATCTTTTAATTAATGTATTAGGTGCTGCCCTCTTGCAGTATTTTGTTTTCCAAATTCTCATATTTGAAAACATTGTGAATGAGCCAGTACTATAATAAATATAAAACCTCTGACTGTATAGAGGTCTAGTCTCATTGCTGTTTTATGGTCTCCATTTTTTTCAAAACAGAGGTTTCTATTGTGTTAACTAATACAAAATTAGGTTCGTACCTGGAGGTTCATCCTCCTCAGGCAATGACACAGCTGCAGGTGCATTGTGATCCTCTTCAGTCACAAAAACAACACGATCCTTTCCTGTCAAGAGAAAAGCTACTTTACAAATCAAGTTAATACAGGAGCTGCATAATAATGTCAATTTGCACTGTTCTACCTTAAATATCACATCAAATACAGTTATATTGATACTGGGCACTGTTGTTGATAGCAAGTGAAAATACCAATTTATAAAGGGCTATAATTCAGAGGCTGAGGATGGGGTTGCTGAGGTGGTTAGGGCGACAATGTATAAATATGGAGTGGAAGGTAGGTGCAGAACAGTTGGAGGGAGGGGACAGGGTAATAGAGGCTTTGAGTTTTAGGGGCTTGAACATTTGGCAAAATTCTGTGTGTATGTTAGATGAAAATGAATAGAAAAAAGGGGTTTTTAATGAAAGTGCTGTTGGAGTGTGAGCAAGGTAACTTTTATGAAGGGATTCAGGGAAATCTGTTATCTAGACTTAATCCTGGAGGTGGGAAAGGCAGTGCCTGCACTCTGAAGGAGGGGTGGGGATGTTGCAGTAATGAGAGGGTTATCTGAATTGTGATGTTAGCACACTCCTGCCAAAATAGGAATTGAATGAAAGAAGGTGAATGCATTTCCTTTGGGCCACTCTGCCTTGGCAGGAGACAATCATTGAGGTAAAAAAAATCAAATAAATTAAATATAAAATATCTTGATTTTTACCATTTATAGTAGTCTCTCCATATCTGCGGGTGATACATTCCAAGACCTACCACTGATGCCCGAAACAGTGGATAGTAGCGAACACTATACATATACGTATATATACATATGCATAGTTTTTTTTTACATACATACCTATGATCCTAGGTAGTAGGTTGGTAGACAGCAATTGCCCAGGGAGGTACTACCGTCCTGCCAAGCGAGTGTAAAATGAAAGCCTGTAATTGTTTTACATGATGGTAGGATTGCTGGTGTCCTTTTTTCAGTCTCATAAACATGCAAGATTTCAGGTACGTCTTGCTACTTCTACTTACACTTAGGTCACACTACACATACATGTACAAGCATATACAGTACAGTGGACCCCCGCATAACGATATTAATCCGTTCCTGAGAGCTCAATGTTATGCGAAATTATCGTTATGCGAATTAATTTTCCCCATAAGAAATAATGGAAATCAAATTAATCCGTTCCTGACACCCAAAAGTATGAAAAAAAAAAATTTTACCACATGAAACATTAATTTTAATACACACAAACTGAAGACGTGCACAGTTACATGACACTTACCTTTACTGAAGATCTGGTGATGATTGATGGGATGGGAGGAGAGTGTCTTAGTGTTTAGAAGGGGAATCCCCTTCCAATAAGACTTGAGGTGTCAAGTCCTTTTCCGGGGTTACTTCCCTTCTTCTTTTAATGCCACTAGGACCAGCTTCAGAGTCACTGGACTTCTGCCGCACAACATATCTGTCCATAGAGGTCTGTACCTCTCGTTCCTTTATGACTTTCCTAAAGTGGTCCACAACATTGTCAGTGTAATAGTCACCAGCACGGCTTGCAACAGCTGTCTGAGGGTGATTTTCATCCATGAAGGTTTGCACTTTAAGCCACATAGCACAGATTTCCTTAATCTTTGAAGTAGGCAACTTCTTCAATTTCTCTCTCCCCTCCTCCGAAGCAGTTTCCTCAGGTGTGGCCTCATGCTGATGAAGATGATCTAGCAGCTCATCAGTGGTTAGTCCTTCATTGTCCTCCTCCACCAACTCTTCCACATCCTCCCCACTAACCTCCAACCCCAAGGACTTTCCCAATGCCACAATGGATTCCTCAACTGGCATAGGATTCCCAAGGTTAGCCTCAAACCCTTCAAAATCCCTTTGGTCTACACATTGTGGCCACAGTTTCTTCCAAGCAGAGTTCAAGGTCCTCTTAGTCACTCCCTCCCAAGCCTTACCTATAAGGTTTACACAACTGAGGATATTAAAGTGCTCTCTCCAAAACTCTCTTAGTCAATTGAGTTTCTGAGGTCACTACAAAGCACCTTTCAAACAGAGCTTTTGTGTACAATTTTTTGAAGTTTGCAATAACCTGCTGGTCCATGGGCTGCAGGAGAGGAGTGGTATTAGGAGGCAAAAACTTGACCTTAATGAAGCTCATGTCCCCACAAAGTCGCTCTGCCAAGTCTGTAGGATGACCAGGGGCATTGTCTAACACCAGGAGGCACTTAAGGTCTAATTTCTTTTCAGTTAGGTAGTTTTTCACATTGGGGGCAAATGCTTGGTGTAACCAGTCATAGAAAAAGTCCCTAGTGACCCATGCCTTACTGTTTGCTCTCTACAGCACACACAAATTAGCCTTGAGGATATTCTTTTGCCTGAATGCTCTGGGAGTTTCAGAGTGATACACCAATAAAGGCTTCACTTTGCAATCACCACTAGCATTGGTACACATCAACAGAGTAAGCCTGTCTTTCATAGGCTTATGTCCTGGGAGTGCCTTTTCCTCCTGAGTAATGTAGGTCCTGCTTGGCATTTTCTTCCAAAACAGGCCTGTTTCGTCACAATTAAACACTTGTTCAGGTTTCAGTCCTTCACTGTCTATGTACTCCTTGAATTCCTGCACATATTTTTCAGCTGCTTTGTGGTCCGAACTGGCAGCCTCACCATGCCTTATCACACTATGTATGCCACTACGCTTCTTAAATCTCTCAAACCAACCTTTGCTGGCCTTAAATTCACTCATCACTAGTTGCAGGCATTTTTCTAATTAAATCCTGATGCAACTTCCTAGCCTTTTCACTTATGATCGCTTGAGAGATGCTATCTCCTGCTATCTGTTTTTCGTTTATCCACACCAATAAGAGTCTCTCAACATCTTCTATCACTTGCGATCTCTGTTTCGAAAACACAGTTGAACCTTTGGCAAGAACAGCTTCCTTGATTGCCGTTTTCTTGGACACAATAGTAGCGAGGGTTGATTGGGGTTTACTATACAACCTGGCCAGCTCGGAGACACGTACTCCACTTTCATACTTAGCAATGATCTCTTTCTTCATCTCTATAGTAATTCTCGCCCTTATTCCTGTAGGGTTGGCACTAGAAGCTTTCTTGGGGCCCATGGTCACTTATTTTGCAGATAAAATCACCAAAAACGCTGTAATAATACGAAATGTTCCGATTGTATGCTTGGATGTTACCGCAGAGGCTGGCTGGTAAACAATGCCACCCGCGAAACATGTGAGGCTGGCTCAGGCCGCACATTAGACGCGTCTCGGACGAATAGCGTTGAGCGGGTTTTTTAGCGGTATGCGAGGCAAAATCTTAGCGATAAAATGTATCGGTATGCGGATTTAACGTTATGTGATGCCAACGGTATGCAGGGGTCCACTGTATATACAAACACCCCTCTGGGTTTTCTCCTATTTTCTTTCTAGTTCTTGTTCTTGTTTATTTCCTCTTATCTCCATGGGGAAGTGGAACAGAATTCTTCCTTCGTAAGCCATGCGTGTTGTAAGAGGCGACTAAAATGCCGGGAGCAAGGGGCTAGTAACCCCTTCTCCCGTATAAATTACTAAATTTAAAAAGAGAAATTTTTGTTGTTCTTTTTGGGCCACCCTGCTTCGGAGGGATACGGCCAGTTTGTTGAAAGAAGAAAACATAACTATGATAAAGTTTAACTGATAAATTACGCACAAAGACATCATCAACATAAAATAATAATAAAATACATTGTACATTACAGCGATACCTCGAATTTCGAACAGCTCCCAACTCGAACAATTATGTAAGTGTATTTTTGTAAGTGTATTTTTGGGGGTCTGAAACGGACTAGTCTAATTTACATTATTCCTTATGGGAACAAATTCGTTTGGTAACGACACTTGAACAGCCTTCTGGAAAAAATTATGTCCAAAATTCGAGGTACCACTGTATTATACTTCATGAATGTAAGATTCATTCTTGCTGTACATTTTAGCGACCTCAGCATGCAATTTTTTTTCTTGTATCAAGTTGAGACTTAGCACTTTCAGGCTTGGCCTGGGAGCCTGCCTATAATAGCTAGGAAATATATAAAGTATACTATTATGCTTTGGTGCCATTATTAAACAAAATTAGGGCTTATTTTCAGGCCACGGTAAAACACAAATAACTGAAACTGTGGAAACCAAATCCATTACCTGGAAAGGGTTTCAGGGGTCAACGCCCCTGCGGTTCGGTCTGAGATCAGGCCTCGTGGTGGATCAGGGTCTGATCAACCAGGCTGTTACTGCTGGCCACATGCAAACTGAACTACAGCCTGGTTGGTCAGGTACTGACTTTAGGTGCCTGTCCAGTGTTAGCCAAGAAGAGTACCCAGAAGGAGAATGTAGAATATAACTTTGGTGTAACTGTCTAGCATTAGGAATAATATTAGGAGAGAAGTAAAAATTGTTATAGGAATGCAATTAGAAGCCTGAGTAGATCTATAACCCACTATGATAACATGAACATAGATAAGTATGTTTATGGAGCAACGTGCAATGTGAACAGACTGACTGATGTTGTAGTGGCCAGACTTAGGCTTGGTTACAAGTACTTCTGGCAGTTTGGGAGACACACAGATGATGATCAAACTAAATGTAAATTATGTGATCAGGCATATGGTCACTGTCTTGAACACTATGTGCTTAATTGTCCACTTATTGAGGAATACAGAGACAGACAGCATAATAACCTATGTGATTTGTCAAGATATCTTATTACTGAAAATAAGATATATATACTAAGCAAATTTCCTAAATTTGCTTGTAACAAATAAGTGAACTATAGATATGTTGATATAAATCCATATGTATTCCTGTTAACCTTTTGGGGCCTAGTTCCTGGGCATTTTGTGTATCCATATGCTCTTGTGCTACCATCCACAGGATGGATATGGGGTGCACAATACACTAGCCACTTCGGTAGCAAAATCTATTGGATACAGGGGTTCTACTGTATACTCAGTTTGTGCTGATTTTTAAAATACTGTATAGTAATGCATTTAGGTTTCACTATGCTATATATACAACCAATTCCATCTTATAATTTTAAAAGATTTTCTTGTTATACTAAAGACAATTATCAGGTTATTAGCCCACCAGTCTCTTACACCTGTTGCCACAGTTTACCTAGAAGATTGTTGTGGGTCACACCCTAAAAGGAAGGAGAGTGATTTATTCTATATCAAACATAAAAAAAATGCACAATACCATGACTGGAACAATACACAAATAACCCATACATAGAAGAGAGGAGCTTACGACAATGTTTCGGTCCGACTTGGACCATTTCCAAAGTCACACTTTGTAAGTGGTCCAGGTTGGACTGAAATGTCGTCGTAAGCTCCTCTCTTCAATGTGCAGGTTATTTGTGTACTGTATCTGACATTCATGTCCCTATTATTGTCAGTTGAACCTATCTTTAATGATTATATAACTCAGCTCATTTTATTCCTATTCTCTCTCCTTTTACTGTAACTGATTTTCACAGTTCAGCTATTTAGCTGTGCTACCTTTTAAGGTTATAATCATAAATGGTTTCTACCTTAACTTTCTGCTAGGCTTTAAATAATAAGATACATATATTACAAGGACCCCAATGGAAAAAAAGTCACTTTGTCTTACTTTTTTTAGGCTATCCTTGATAATTTACACACGTTACTATTTACCAACATCATATTTCAGTCCACAGCAGGATATGAATCTACATACTCTGCATCAAAGTATGTAGCAATTAAGCCACTCAGCCAGATCCCAGATGTCAAAAAAAATCAAAGTTTTACACTTTTTCTCAGATAATAAAATATGTTTAACTAAGAAGGATTTGTCATAGTTTTGGCCATCCCAATTATTGAAGTCGACCATGTAAAAACCCATAAACAGACTGGAGAGGCTAGAGGAGCCCTACCTTTCCTCAAGAAGCAAAAAAATAAAATACAGTGGTACCTCGAGTTTCGAACAGCTCCCAACACAAACAATTATGTAAGTGTATTTTTGTATGTGCACTTGTAAGTGTATTTTTGGGGGTCTGAAACAGATTAATCTAATTTACATTATTCCTTATGGGAACAAATTTATTCGGTAAAGGCACTCGAACAGCCTTCTGGAACGAATTATGGCCAAAATTTGCGGTACCACTGTATGTACTTCCATCACTTCGAGTCTTATTTCAAGCTACTTTCAGTCTGAAACTGACCAAGTCATCTCTATTTCACTAGTATATCTTCCATTTTATGAAGTGATACCAATAAAACCTCAGAAAACACCTCAAAGTCACTACAGTAGAACCTCGAGTTTCAGCCACCTCTTAGCTTCGACCGCTTCGAGTTTCGATCGCTTTTTTCGGCTAAATTAAGTCCCAGGTTTCACACTGTGCCCCGTGTTTTGGCCCATGTACCAGACCTGTCTGCCTGCCTGTGCAGGCATCGTGAGTCAGTGTGGCTTTGTTTATCCTCGTGTGAACGTTACCCTCCATGGTGGAGGCAGTGATTGAGACAGTGGTTGAGGCAGTGGTTGAGGCAGTGGTTGAGGCAGTGGTTGAAGCAGTGGTAGAGGCAGTGGTGGAGGCAGTGGTGGAGGCAATAATAAGTCCTCCCTCTCTCCTCCTCCCTATCTCCAGATGCCAACAAAAGTCTTCAATAAAGGTACGTAAATATGATTTTAAATGTGTATTTAAATGTTTATCTATTTCATTACTCATTTAGGTACTATATGTATTTATAATTGTTTTGTGTATGTAAAACTACAGTTATTCTTAAAAAAATGTATTTTTTGTGAATATTTTTGTGGGTCTGGAATGGATTACGTAACTGGATTTACATTATTTCTTATGGGAAATATTGCCCTGAGTTTAGGCCAAGCTTCTGGAATGGACTACGGCTGAAACTCGGGGTTCCACTGTATTTTAACCAATGAACATTATTATTTAGTGCATACTGAAAAAAAAAATCTGGAATATTTTGTCTTGAATCAATTGCGAAAAATTAAAATTTTTTAACATAAAAAAAAAAAACTAAACTTAACCTAACCTAATATAACCAACCTTAACTCAACGTAGCCTAATATAACCAACATAGCCTAATATAACAAAACTGCCTAATAAAACCCAACTTAACCTAATATAACCCAACTTAATATACCTGGAGAGAGTTCCAAGGGTCAACGCCCCCGCGGCCCGGTCTGTGACCAGGCCTCATGGTGGATCAGGGCCTGATCAACCAACTTAACCTAATACAGTGGACCCCCGGTTAACGATATTTTTTCACTCCAGAAGTATGTTCAGGTGCCAGTACTGACCGAATTTGTTCCCATAAGAAATATTGTGAAGTAGATTAGTCCATTTCAGACCCCCAAACATATACGTACAAACGCACTTACATAAATACACTTACATAATTGGTCACATTCGGAGGTAATTGTTATGCGGGGGTCCACTGTATAACCCAACATAACCTAATGTAACCCAACTTAACCTAATGTAACCCAACTTAACCTAATGTAACCCAACTTAACCTAATGTAACCCAACTTAACCTAATGTAACCCAACTTAATCTTATGTAAAAGGGAATTTATCTGGTAAAAGGACACGTGACACTATCGAGATATTTTATTTCGAAAACTTTTTGATCTCCAGGAGCTTTGGGTTCTCCTAGGTAATTTGCACATACGTGTTTGTTAAACTATGCATGATAATTATACTTATGTGTACTTGTACCTAAATGAACTTACAGTAGAACCTCAATGCTTGAACTTAATTGGTTCCTAGGTGGTGTCCAAACTGCGAAAAGTTCGATGTTCAAAACCGTATTTCCCAGGTTTTAAATAAGTAAGTTTATTCAGGCACAAATACACAAATACAGTTACACAGCAGCATATGTGTAGAGAACCTAGGATAACCCAAAAAAGTCAGCAACTCATTTCCAGTGGGGCCCTTTAATTATCAGCCTCACACACTGGAAGATGTTGAATTGACTCTTCCAAGAGTCTCTGAGTGTTAGGTTAGTGTCAGAGGTCACTTCAAAGCACTTTGAAACAGGGTTTTCATGCAAAGTTTTTTTTACAACTGAATTGTAAACAAGCTGGCATATTCAGACTCAAGAAAAACATTCAAAGACCAGGTCAGTTTTTTCTGAACAAAATTGTTTGGATTCTGGTTCATCCGAGGTCCGGTACGTTCAAACACTGAGGTTCCACTGTATCTACTTATACAAAGCTGGAGAGCAAAATGCTGATTATAATAATAATTACACATGTCCATTATCTAACATTGTTAGCAATTCTACTACATTACAAAACATAATTTGCACAATAAACTAATTATCACAAAGTATAGGTATTCACCTAATTATGGATGAGGGGGTCGATTCATAGCTCCTGGCCCTGCCTCTTCACTGGTTGCTAATAATAATAATTATATCTTTATTTACTACAAGTACATGTACAAGGTATACAGGCCTAGCTGACATCAATGACATACTACTATATAGAAAGCCCCTTCTAATATGCTCAGCATTTTGGGCATATTAGGTCAGTGTCCCAGGATGCGACCCACACCAGTCGACTAACACCCAGGTACCTATTTTACTGATGGGTGAACATAGACAACAGGTGTAAAGAAACACACCCAATGTTTCTACTCTGGCTCTATTATGTTAGGTAACCTGCTTGTATTGTAGATAAAAAAAAATTGGTGGAGTTCTGAGTAGGTCCTGAACTCATTACTGGCTCCTATAGCCCAAAATTCAATGGAAAAAATGTTCCAAATAAGTTTTTACTGAACAAATAGATAAAATTATGTACATTTTTTACATTATGAGGACACATACATACTGACAATCTCATATGTATTGTACTTCATTATGTAGACTTAACACAGAACAATACTATGGGGTCAATGTGATTTATTTCCATGAGGATCTCCAGGTATTTTTTTTAAACGAATTTTAACCGGCAGAAATAAAAAGCAAGTCAGCGCTGGCTAGGCATTTATTACAATTGTTTATTTTATAATGGACTGATGCTAAAAGGAGATAAGGGGATAAAAATTAACTGTTATACCTCCCTGGCTAGTGTCACACTTCATGGCCCTCATGGTTCCCATGAAAAAAATAATTTTTGAACCATGCCCCAGTAACTCCAGTCACCCCAATGGAAGCAAGTCACTTCGTCTAACATTTTGGGGGGTTATCGTCAGTAATTTACACATATGTTACTACATACGTTAATTTTAATAAATTTTGCGTCACTATACTTAAATAAACGTACAGTGTATAACGTTAATTACGGTCTACAATGACGCAAGAATACCTCAACCACACTCATTACAATTGATTTTCTTACCTTCCTGTTTACAGTAAGACATAATTGATGGGAGAGGCTGCCTTAGCGGTGGACCAGGAATATTATGTCTCACACCACAGAGATAACTTACACCCGACAAGGGAAGTAGATGAGACACTGACTGAGGGAGGATGAGACACTACTGCTGCTGCCGCATGCTCCCTTACACTTGTAAGTTTATTCAGGTAGGATACACATAAATACAGTCACATAAATGATTATATATAGTAGAATATGTGTATATTACCTAGGATAACCCTGAAAAGTCAAAGTGACTTATTTCCATTGGGCTTCTTGAATGATAATGTATGATAATTGTACTTATGTGCAGCTGTGCCTAAATAAAGTTCCTTAGGACGGTGTATAAAACAAAAAATATAGATTGAGAGAGTGAGTTAGGAAAGTTAGTTTAACATCTTTATTATGCACCCTATACCCATCCTGTGGGTGGCAGTTAAAGGATTACAGACCCATATAATGGGTCCAGCCTAGACCTATTATGTACCTCTGTAATTCTTTGACCCATTATATACTTCTGAAAACCTTACCAAACCACCAAATCCCTGGACCGTCCAGGGACTGGTTGGTTTGGTAAGGTTTGTCAGGAAACAGGACAAGTGCTTCCTGACGCAGGTCTTAGTCGTATGATGATTCACAGCTGGAGCTTTTGGTCATCTGACCGAGACCTTCTGCTGGCTTACCGGTCCACTTCTCTAAAAATGATGGTCATAGTTATAACCATTTAGTCTAGGGACTGGACTAAATGGTTATGTAAGTGTGGGGGAAGCTAGTGAGGCAGTTGGTAGAATGAAAGCGGGTAAGGCAGCTGGAATTCATGAGATAAAGATAGAAATGTTATAAGCTGGTGGGAATATAGTTTTGAATATTATTATTATTATAATCAAAGTGAAGCGCTAAACCCGTATATAGTTTTGAGGTTGTTGGTGCTTTTATTTAACAGATGTATGGAAGAGGTTAAGGTGTCTAGGGATTGGCAGAGAGCATGCATAATTCCTTTGTATAAAGGCAAAAGGGACAAAAGAGAGTGCAAAAATTATAAGGGAATAAGTCTGTTGAGGCGTCCCGTAGTTCGATCGCTAGCGCACTCACTCGCTCCCGGGAAGAACTAAAAGCCATAAATGAAATCGAAAGAAACCCAAAGTATTTCTTCTCCTATGCCAAATCAAAGTCGAGAACAACGTCCAGTATTGGGCCCCTACTTAAACAAGATGGGTCCTACACAGATGACAGCAAGGAAATGAGTGAGCTACTCAAGTCCCAATATGACTCAGTTTTTAGCAAGCCGCTAACCAGACTGAGAGTCGAAGATCAAAATGAATTTTTTATGAGAGAGCCACAAAATTTGGTTAACACAAGCCTATCCGATGTTATCCTGACGCCAAATGACTTCGAACAGGCGATAGATAACATGCCCATGCACTCTGCCCCAGGGCCAGACTCATGGAACTCCGTGTTCATCAAGAACTGCAAGAAGCCCCTATCACGAGCCTTTACCATCCTATGGAGAGGGAGCATGGACACGAGGGTCGTCCCACAGTTACTAAAAACAACAGACATAGCCCCACTCCACAAAGGGGGCAGTAAAGCAACAGCAAAGAACTACAGACCGATAGCACTAACATCTCATATCATAAAAATCTTTGAAAGGGTCCTAAGAAGCAAGATCACCACCCATCTAGAAACCCATCAGTTACACAACCCAGGGCAACATGGGTTTAGAACAGGTCGCTCCTGTCTGTCTCAACTATTGGATCACTACGACAAGGTCCTAGATGCACTAAAAGACAAAAAGAATGCAGATGTAATATATACAGACTTCGCAAAAGCCTTCGACAAGTGTGACCATGGCGTAATAGCGCACAAAATGCGTGCTAAAGGAATAACAGGAAAAGTCGGTCGATGGATCTATAATTTCCTCACTAACAGAACACAGAGAGTAGTCGTCAACAGAGTCAAGTCCGAGGCAGCTACGGTGAAAAGCTCTGTTCCACAAGGCACAGTACTCGCTCCCATCTTGTTCCTCATCCTCATATCCGACATAGACAAGGATGTCGGCCACAGCACCGTGTCTTCCTTTGCAGCTGACACCCGAATCTGCATGACAGTGTCTTCCATTGCAGACACTGCAAGGCTTCAGGCGGACATCAACCAAATCTTTCAGTGGGCTGCAGAAAACAATATGAAGTTCAACGATGAGAAATTTCAATTACTCAGATATGGTAAACATGAGGAAATTAAATCTTCATCAGAGTACAAAACAAATTCTGGCCACAAAATGACAGGATGGATAATGAGAACCTTCAAAACTAGGGAGGCCAAGCCCATGATGACACTCTTCAGGTCACTTAGCCCGGTGGCCTGGTGGCTAAAGCTCCCGCTTCACACACGGAGGGCCCGGGTTCGATTCCCGGCGGGTGGAAACATTTCGACACGTTTCCTTACACCTGTTGTCCTGTTCACCTAGCAGCAAATAGGTACCTGGGTGTTAGTCGACTGGTGTGGGTCGCATCCTGGGGGACAAGATTAAGGACCCCAATGGAAATAAGTTAGACAGTCCTCGATGACGCACTGACTTTCTTGGGTTATCCTGGGTGGCTAACCCTCCGGGGTTAAAAATCCGAACGAAATCTTATCTTATCTTATCTTATCTAGGCTGGAATATTGCTGCACACTAACAGCACCTTTCAAGGCAGGTGAAATTGCTGACCTAGAAAATGTACAGAGAACCTTCACGGCGCGCATAACAGAGATAAAACACCTCAATTACTGGGAGCGCTTGAGGTTCCTAAACCTGTATTCCCTGGAATGCAGGTGGAGAGATACATGATTATATACACCTGGAAAATCCTAGAGGGACTAGTACCGAACTTGCACACGAAAATCACTCACTACGAAAGCAAAAGACTTGGCAGACGATGCAACATCCCCCAATGAAAAGCAAGGGCGTCACTAGCACGTTAAGAGACCATACAATAAGTGTCAGGGGCCCGAGACTGTTCAACTGCCTCCCAGCATACATAAGGGGGATTACCAACAGACCCCTGGCAGTCTTCAAGCTGGCACTGGACAAGCACCTAAAGTCGGTTCCTGACCAGCCGGGCTGTGGCTCGTACGTTGGTTTGCGTGCAGCCAGCAGCAACAGCCTGGTTGATCAGGCTCATCCACCAGGAGGCCTGGTCACAGACCGGGCTGCGGGGGCGTTGACCCCCGAAACTCTCTCCAGGTAAACTCTAGATATGCATTGCAATTCTTAGATAAATGAGTACCCTTGCAGAAAAGACAATCTCTCTTTTCTCTGACTGGTTTCTTATTAACTGGGCTACTCTTAGGAGGGTACTTATTCTTCTTACCTAGTGGAGAATCATTATTTCTGATTCTTGCTAATTGATATGCACCTATGCACCTCTTTTTAGGAAATGAATTTTGATTATTACTATTGGGATAATTTCTCCCTATGTGAAACTTGACAGATACCTCAGAGTTATTATGTGTTGCACCTTTAAAATGAGTTAGTTGGCTTTTCTACAACTGCACAATTAATTCTTGTAGACCTAGTCTTATTTCCTCCAGACCAAAATAACCCTTGTGATATTCGTTTGAGAGCCATTCAAGTGTTTTACAGCTTAATTTATTCTGTACCATGGCACTCAATAACCAGTCTGATTCCTTCAGATTATATTTATTACTTAAAGTTTTGAGAGTGCTATCCAGTTTAACTCTAAACAGCTGTAACCTTTGTAAGTGTGATCTGGAGATTTTAAATTAACAATGATATTCACTAGATCCAACCTACTTTGTTCTATATTACCATAAGTGACCTTCAATAGGTCAACTGCTTCCTTGTAAGAGTCATCTACATTGTGAAAGGCTTGTATCAGTATTTGAGCATCTCCTCTTACCTGTCCTTTGAGGTAAAATAATTTAGTTACACAGGCTAGGTCACTCCTGTCATGCACAGCTGCTTTAAAAATTGACCAAAATTCCTCCCAATTTTCTCCAGGATTAAACACAGGCAAACACAATTCTGGGAGTTTTGGCAAAGACATATTATTTGTTGGAGCAGACTGACCAACTGCCTGGTTTACACATTTTTAATTTATTCAAGGCCTGACTTTTACAAGAAAGAATCTTTTCCTCTAATTCATAATACTGATTAATCATGAGATCTATTTCAGTCTCATCTAAACAGTTTACTAATAAATCTCCTTCATATTTGTTGTAATATAATTTGTATGAATCATATCTATTACCTAAAGCATCTAAATACAATTTTAAATCATCAGTATTCACAGTTTCTTGATTCATTAATTCCAAACATTTATTATATGCCTTGGTTACATGACCCTTTCGAGCCTGCAGTGAGGCTTTCTTTGCTCTATATTCCATATGTTTGTCTTCTATATTAATTTCCTCATTTCCAGCCATGATGCAATGTATTAAATTCCACTTAATAACACTGATTATGTACTAAATTATGCACTTTATAAAGGTAAATAGTACAACTTACCTTTGAATAAATCCTAGCTACTTGAGCTTAGCAATTACATGCAAAAAAATTATAATATAAATTTTAAATGTACATTAATACAAACAAACCTTTAGCCAGACTTGGCTTATCAAAATTATTATACAAATTAATATAAATCCTTGCCAGAATTTGGAATAGCAAAATTAATATTATACACAATAATATTATTTACACTTGGCTTATCAATTACACATACACTGATATAAATCTTGGCCAGAATTATCTTATCAAATTAATATTATACAAATACATTAATATAAATCCTAGCCACTTTGGCTTTGCAAAATTAATATACACATTAATTAGCTACACTTGGCTTATGAATTACACATACACTTATACACATTAATATAATCTTTAGCCACACTTGACTTACCCAAATTAATATTGTAATAATTATAATCCGCTACACATTAAGTAAATTTGTGAACTTAACATCCACCTCCTTCTGTCATTTCACATATAATTATTAAGTAATTAACTGATTAATGACTTCACTAATTACCTCCGGTTCAAGAAGGACCAACGGGCAAATTAAATGTGGAAAATTGCATTTATCTGAATGTAACTAATTATGTACATAACAGTAAATGATAACAAAGATAATTATTATTTATCAATCAAAAACAATATACTCAGATCACAACATAATTGAGGTTCAGACATGTATGCGTGGAGCCCCAGTCCGACATAATGAGACTAGTCACGAGGGAGCATTCACCAAATTCAACTTCAATAACAAAAACATAAAGTGGGACCAAGTAAACCAAGTCCTAACCGATATAAGCTGGGAAGATATACTAAGCAACACAGACCCCAACTTATGCCTAGAACAGATTAACTCGGTGGCACTCGATGTATGCACAAGGCTTATTCCTCTAAGAAAAAGGAGGAGTAGATGTAAAATAGAAAGAGACAGGCGCCCCTTTACAGCGACGGAAAGAGTAACAGAGCGGCTAAAAGAGGTCAATATATCTGAAATGCGTAGGGAGACACTGGTCAGAGAAATAGCAAGCATCGAACTTAAGCTAAAAGAATCCTTTAGGGGTCAGGAATCGCCGGAAGAACTAAAAGCCGTAAATGAAATCGAAAGAAACCCAAAGTATTTCTTCTCCTATGCCAAATCAAAATCGAGAACAACGTCCAGTATTGGGCCCCTACTTAAGCAAGATGGGTCCTACACAGATGACAGCAAGGAAATGAGTGAGCTACTCAAGTCCCAATATGACTCAGTTTTTAGCAAGCCGCTAACCAGACTGAGAGTCGAAGATCAAAATGAATTTTTTTATGAGAGAGCCACAAAATTTGATTAACACAAGCCTATCCGATGTTATCCTGACGCAAATGACTTCGAACAGGCGATAAATGACATGCCCATGCACTCTGCCCCAGGGCCAGACTCATGGAACTCTGTGTTCATCAAGAACTGCAAGAAGCCCCTATCACGAGCCTTTTCCATCCTATGGAGAGGGAGCATGGACACGGGGGTCGTCCCACAGTTACTAAAAACAACAGACATAGCCCCACTCCACAAAGGGGGCAGTAAAGCAACAACAAAGAACTACAGACCAATAGCACTAACATCCCATATCATAAAAATCTTTGAAAGGGTCCTAAGAAGCAAGATCACCACCCATCTAGAAACCCATCAGTTACACAATGCAGGGCAACATGGGTTTAGAACAGGTCGCTCCTGTCTGTCTCAACTATTGGATCACTACGACAAGGTCCTAAATGCACTAGAAGACAAAAAGAATGCAGATGTAATATATACAGACTTTGCAAAAGCATTCGACAAGTGTGACCATGGCGTAATAGCGCACAAAATGCGTGCTAAAGGAATAACAGGAAAAGTCGTCGATGGATCTATAATTTCCTCTCACTAACAGAACACGAGAGTAGTCGTCAACAGAGTAAAGTCCGAGGCAGCTACGGTGAAAAGCTCTGTTCTACAAAGCACAGTACTCGCTCCCATCTTGTTCCTCATCCTCATATCCGACATAGACAAGGATGTTAGCCACAGCACCGTGTCTTCCTTTGCAGATGACACCCGAATCTGCATGACAGTGTCTTCCAATGCAGACACTGCAAGGCTCCAGGCGGACATCAACCAAATCTTTCAGTGGGCTGCAGAAAACAATATGAAGTTCAACGATGAGAAATTTCAATTACTCAGATATGGTAAACATGAGGAAATTAAATCTTCATCAGAGTACAAAACAAATTCTAGCCACAAAATAGAGCGAAACACCAACGTCAAAGACCTGGGAGTGATCATGCCGGAGGATCTCACCTTCAAGAACCATAACATTGTATCAATCGCATCTGCTAGAAAAATGACAGGATGGATAATGAGAACCTTCAAAACTAGGGAGGCCAAGCCATGATGACACTCTTCAGGTCACTTGTTTCTATCTAGGCTGGAATATTGCTGCACACTAACAGCACCTTTCAAGGCAGGTGAAATTGCCGACCTAGAAAATGTACAGAGAACTTTCACGGCGCGCATAACGGAGATAAAACACCTCAATTACTGGGAGCGCTTGAGGTTCCTAAACCTGTATTCCCTGGAACGCAGGAGGGAGAGATACATGATATATACACCTGGAAAATCCTAGAGGGACTAGTACCGAACTTGCACACGAAAATCACTCACTATGAAAGCAAAAGACTTGGCAGACGATGCACCATCCCCCCAATGAAAGCAGGGGTTTGTCACTAGCACGTTAAGAGACCATACAATAAGTGTCAGGGGCCCGAGACTGTTCAACTGCCTCCCAGCACACATAAGGGGGATTACCAACAGACCCCTGGCAGTCTTCAAGCTGGCACTGGACAAGCACCTAAAGTCAGTTCCTGATCAGCCGGGCTGTGGCTCGTACGTTGGTTTGCGTGCAGCCAGCAGCAACAGTCTGGTTGATCAGGCTCTGATCCACCAGGAGGCCTGGTCACAGACCGGGCCGCGGGGGCGTTGACCCCCGGAACTCTCTCCAGGTAAACTCCAGGTTACATAGACAAGTAGGAATTTGGGACACCTAGGTCGCAAAAAATGTCCCCCTTCGATACCTACCACTGTCATAACCACAAGTTGCTCTGGACCTATTAATTAAATGAAATATACATACACCAGGAATACTGGTAAATATATAAATTTGTGGACTCTATATTAAAAATAATAAATGGTTATATATATATACACAATTACATAACAGAAGGAAAATATATCTTAATATCACTCACCAATTTGACTGGAGATTAATGTGTATAATACTCAGAAAACCTCACTCTAACTAAATCTATGAAAATAATGCTGGCCAGAATTACACACAAATCTAGAGAGCTTATCTGAGGTTCCTGGAGAGGTCTTGTCCAGTCGCCTGATATCTCAAGTTATGCAGGAATGCACATCCACCAATTTCGCCTCCTATTTGAGAGGTGTCAACACAATTTTAACCTCTAGAGCACGAAAAATTCTTCCCATTACACCAACGTTTGTACAAAATTCATAACCATATTTACTTCTTTTTACCTATAAATTACCTATAAATTACCGTATTTCCGGAAAATATATACAGTATTTTCCACAGCTTCTGCAAATCATGCAGTTTATCCTGCAACTCTCAGATGCTCTCATCAGGCTATTCATTAGGGCAAAAGTTAATGAGCCCCTATATATTAATATGGAACATGATTATAGCGATTAAGTCTTAGCAACAGTTACCAGAATGCATCAACAGCTACTCTTAGATTTATATTTGTGTTTAAATAAACAAGAAGAATTTTTAACCCAACAATAAAAATCTTCGTGTGTTCAGAAATTTTAATCTCATATTCACAATGAGCTAATTTAAATTTATCTCTATTTACTATTTGCTGAATTTTTTATACAGGATTTTTTTTCCATCTTGAATACCAATTTAGGTTGTTAAGAGAAGGGACAAATTCGTTTTTTTTAAACTCGGGGGGGGGGGGGGGGGAGATGACGCGCCATGGTGCTAGCAGAGCGACTAAGGAGTCCAACAGGGGAGGATGTTGCTGACCAGGTCTCCATCCTTGATGCGTAACTCCACCATCTTCCTGTCCCCTTGAGGTCTTCTGTTCTTCAGCAAGTAGAGAGAGCAAGCGAAGTAACTTCTCCTGATATGGTAAGTGGTATTGCTTGATAAATGAAAGGTGTTTCATATGTATAATGCTTTTGTGGGGCCGTCGGCGTCATTAGTAATGGCGCATGTGAAACTGATGCTGGTGAGAAGCTTTTGATATAAAGAATTGTACATTTGTTGCCTTTCCATGGATCGAACCTGAATGCCTCTAATTTTTCGAGTGCTGCACGGCCCCTACTGATTTAGCTCTCCCATGAATAAGTAATGCAAAACGTTTGTTATAAAAACAAAGAAAGAAGAAACACTGCAACAGGCCTAATGACCCATGCGGAGCAAGTCCATGTCCTCTCCCGGATTAGCCCAATGACCCACCCAGTCTGGTCACCCCCACTCAAGGATGGAGCACGCACCAGACAGCAGCACAAGCTAGCCAGGTCCAACTTACACCCACTCATGTATTTATCTAACCTATTTTTAAAACTACACAATGTTTTAGCCTGAATACCTGTACTCGGGAGTTTTTCACTCATCCATAACTCTATTACCAAACCAGTGCTTTCCTACATCCTTCCTGAATCTGAATTTCTCCAACTTGAAACCATTGCTGCGAGTCCTGTCTTTGCTGGAAATTTTCAGCACGCTATTTACATCCCCTTTATTTATTCCTGTTTTCCATTTATACACCGATCATATCCCCCCTAATTCTACGCCTTTCGAGAGAGTGAAGATTCAGGGCCCTCAGTCTATCCTCATAGGGAAGATTTCTGATACATGGGATCATTTTTGTCATCCTCTGTACTTTTTCCATTCTGTAATACGGTGACCAGAACTGAGCAACCTAGTCTAAATGAGGCCTAACCAAAGATATATAGAGTTGAAGAACAACCTGAGGACTTCTATTATTTATACTTTAGATATGAAGCCATTACATATTTTTTAAGCCGTAATACTTTTGTACTACTATGTTCAAACAGCCTTTACGCTGATGAAGGGCTCTTGATCCAAAGAATTGAGACCACCCTACCCTCCCTTTTCCTGGACTGAATCTGTCCTAAGGCAATGGATTTTGCTCCGTGGAATAAAAAAAAATGTTAGTGATGTATGTGGTCTACAAAGATTCCAAACACCTAGAATAATTGAGTTGGCATAACAACCCATTCGAGTAGCTCTTTTTCAGGAACAAAAGTAATTTAATGAGTGTTACATTCAAGGGGATGCTTTTATCCCGGCTAAACACTCGATCCAAGGAATTGGAACTGCCGTCCCGTTCCTTGGATCAGTCCCTACGAGTCGAACGTTTCTCAGTGAATATAACTGATGCATGAATTTGTGTATTTAAATCACTGGCGTTGTGATGGCAATGTGAGCCTCGCTTTTTTCGGTCTGGTAAATTTCTATTGTAAATTGTTCTTTTTTTTTCAGTGATATTTTACTGATACTTTTTTTCAGTCTGGTAAATCATTGTTGCAAGTGATTCATTGTAGTCTGGGAAATTACTTACTGTTACACATAGTAAGGGATTGGGGAGGGTGGGGAGTGAGTATATACATGACTAAGGGGACTTCCTCTGTAGGCAGGCAAACTACATGCTTCGTCTTCTATCACGAATAGTTATTTTAGGTTATTTGCAGCTTATTTAAGTTATTTGAAATTTATTTACGTTATTTGCATTTATTTAGGCTATTTGCAATTATTTAGGTTATTTACAATTTATTTAGGTTATTTGCAATTTATTTAGATAATTTGCAATTTAATAGAAAGTAACGGCAAATTACTTAAAAATCTATTAAACAAGATGAGTAACAGCGGCTTGGTAAGCCTACGATACACAGAAATTGTTAAAATCCTAATGCTCATCTGTAAAATAACGAAGACGGGCTACGGTGAGATACGGACCTCCTGTCACCGCTGACTGACAAATCAGAGGCGAGTATTTTGATAGCTTCCTGAATTAATTTTGTCCCATTTATGCTAGGAATTGGAACTAACCCCTCCCCCCTCTTTCATCAAATCAAACCTGATTACCACCATTCCTCAGGGACTGGATGGCGTACGGGTTTAGCGCTTCCTTGTGAAACTGATAAAAAGATTGATGTGAAGTGTATGTAGGTGTTCGTTGAACTATGTTCTTATGAAGGACTTTGCGCCTTGTCTGTTTTCTTATTTTTTTATTTCAATTTGCTGCAAAACCGCTTGCTTCCCTTGAAGGGAAGTATATCCTTGGATGGAAGAAACTGGAGTTACCTTTCCCTTGGATCCAACCTGATTACCTCATCGTAGGGCGCTGTATGACACATACGGGTTTGGCTCTTCCGTCAATATATTAGTAATACATTCCCGCTTCATACACTAAACATAACACGTTGATTATGATGTGAAGTATTCATACAACTTTAATATATTGAGGCACATTAATATATCTATAATTCGTCTTAGTGTTGATATTATTTTAATTTATAAGACCAGGGATTATTCCTAGGATAAAAAAGCGTTATCATCAAGCAAACTTGCTTTCAAAATATAAGTTTCGTCAGTTTAAAATTTCGTTAAAATATTGCGTTAATCTATCGAAACTTAGACCGTATGACAGGTGAGTGAATCGTCCTGGTAGTGACAATTTTTTTTAATGTTCCCTCACTTCATTGCCCAACGTACCCACTCATGGTGCCACACTCGTGTCTTGCACTATTTTTTTTCTAACCATTTAACATCAACATGGATAAGTTAATGGGTCTCTTGGGGCCGTTATCGGTACAAAACCATTTTTAATTGTTATCATGACTTAAGAAAGCAAGGGCTCAATCACGTCACTTCATTCAGAAAGAAAAAAACTGACTTGTTACCATGTTTACGTTTTAACATTAGGTGCAGTATAAAAAAAACTCAAGAGCTATGGGCAAGGTACTTAACCTTGTTCCTGCACATAACATTTCTATAAAGCAATGAACAATTTATTTGTGTAGTATACAAAGTAATTTACATGTCATAAAATATTATTAAGCAGAAAGAAAGCCACTAGCATGCTTGTGCATATGGGGCAGACTAATCCTAATGCTTACAGACTACTTAATTAAGATTAAACAGAGGCTATTGAGAGGTAAATTTTAATAAAATATTACGATAAGAGAAGTAGCAAAGAATATTACAATTAATAAAATTTATAATAATTCTTACAGACTATTTAAGACTAGACATAGGTTATTGAGTGGTAAAATTTTAATTATGCATTAATTAATATAATAAGAGAGGTAGCAAAAATATTACAATTTTTTTTTTATATTTTTATTTAAAAGAACACATTACAAGACATAAATAAATAAAAGAATACAATAATGAACCGTTTGCAAATACAGTGAACTACCAGCAACCCCATAACATACCCTAAGTGTTACAGTCATATGTGTATTAAAGGATATACCGTCACCTAACAATGAAAAGAACAGGATAACACCTCAAAAAGAAAAAAACATTAACAAAGTCTAAACCTACACTTCATGCCTGTTATACAGTACACTAAGTCCCTCTTGCGCGAAATGCAACAGATGATGTGATTCAGCATACGAAGGATTAAATTATACATTACAAATGTTAAACAAAAGACAAACCTAAACCTACAAGAAAATTGCAAAGACACACCACAATAATACTTCCCGCAAGAAGCAGGAAACTCTTAATTAACATGAAAATAAAAGCTTAAATTTTACTTTACACTATACCACAAACTCGCCAATTTCTAGTGAAATTACAACAACTAAAAGGGGACCAATGAACATTCACAACGAATTCATACCCAGCTCGTACACACACATTTTCACAAATTACAATACACACACCCAAGACTAGTGTGTATTCCACTATAAACCATCACGCAACACATCCACGCCATTCAACCATACACGTGATTAAATATGTAATATACCTATATACATATATCACAGATTACAGAAACCTTATAATAACAAACTTTAGCCTGTAGTCCCAAGACCTCATATTATTATTATAACATCAACGTCTTTCCAACAATTGTTGATCATGATGCCTTTTGACTTCTACAACTAAATTACACAATTTTTAACTATTTACAAACTAATCCAGACAGCAACATAATATACACACACGAATCATTCACGATCACCTGTTAAATGTTACATAAATTACATTACCTGTAACCATCTCACTTCAAAATCCGTACATAACAATCATTAATATCGTATTATCGATGCAATATCATAAAACCAAGATCACATCAATGATCTGCCATTAACAAATGATATTATAGACTAGCGCCAAGGTTTACTTAAACCCAAATAATATCAGGACCTAACTTGTATTTCAAACCCAGCATCATCATGTCTACAAGTATCATTCTTACATAAGGTACACTGATACATTAGTGATTTATCAGATGGGGTAATCATACATTTCATGAAACCTGCTCGCTTGGCATACACTATAATCCTCCAATTAATTAATTACATGTCAAAACCCTATTTCAGTCTTGTTTATACTCCATCAACCTACCATATCCACCTCTACCCAGCATCCAGACATAATTCCTCACCATACCAAGTCCAACAGTCATACCCTCCCAAACGCCAAAGAGACCAGCCACGTCTACGGTATTAAACCCCATAAATCCCTTACATGAAATCTGCAATATCCCTCCGAAAAAGTCAGAAGCCATTTGCTTCCAGCAATATTCTTATTCCGCTGCTGTGTACCATAGAAAATCGCTGCCAACGCCCTGATCCTCTCTTACTGGTTAGTGTCTATAAACCCATGAAATATATACAAAATCCGTAACTAAATATCCCATTGCGTTCTGCACCAGCAACCCTATCCCCCCCCCTCCCACATATAAACTTAACGCTCTTAAGACACTAATTCCCCCACCATACGTAAAACCCTGCTAAACCACACCCTCACTGATTCCAGTCTCTCACAAAAATACACTGCATGATACACCGTCTCGATCTCCCCACACGCACAACGCTCCCCCTTCCCCTTGCACACGCCTATTCGCTAACACTTCCCCGCACGGC